ACACACACACACACACACACACACACACACACACACACACACACACACATATATATAAAACATTGTACAGACGGAGCAAGCTGTATTCAGGGTGTGTGTGTGTGTGTGTGTGTGTGTGTGTGTGTAATACCAGTTATGAAAAAAGAGGCCATGATTTGAAAGAGAGCATGGGGGGCATATTCAGGAGGAAAGGGAAGGGAGAAATGTAATTATATTATAATCCAAAAAAAAAAAAAAAAGTGAGGCCGGGCTACAGTGTATAAAAACACCATGCCTGCTTTTAGTGACATGCTTCCTCCAACAAATAGGTGCCTCCTAAAAGTTTCAAAATGTTTTCCAACAGCATCTCCAACTGGGGACCAAGTGTTTGATACATGAGCCTGTGGGGGACATTTCTCATCCAAACAACAATGTATATGCTATTATTATTTTTTAGGTGTTTTAGTTGAAGTAGAATCACATCACTTACCCCTCTCCCTTTCCTCCATCCAGGCCCTCCCATGTGGCTCCCAACGTTCAAGTGGATAGCCTCTTCTTCTTTATTACTGTTATGTGCCGATGAGTATGTATGCGTGTACACAAATATAGAAATCCAACCTGCTGATCTGTTTTTGTTGTTGTGTGTATATGGCTTCAGAGCCGACCACTTTGCACTGGACACCCAGTAAGGGGGCTCATCCCTGGGAGAGGCGAATTCTCCTTTTTCCAGCAGTCTCTAGCCGCCTGAAGTTCTTTGTCTAGGGGTGGGGCCCTGTGAGATTTCCCATCTTCCATGCTGCTCTGCCCGTCGATACCGCCATCGCTCCGGTCTTGTTTATGCAGCCATTTTTAGGAGAGGCTGTCTCACTGCCGACTTTCTCGTAGTCTGGCTCAGCAGCCCCTGTTTGTTTCAGGAAACAGGGTCTCGTACCATTCAGGCTGGTCTTAAAACTGCTGTACAGTTTCTTTACCTGCCTCTGCCTTCTAAGTGTTGTGTGTGTGTCTTATATGACAGATACGAAGGAGTAAAGACATGCTGCTTCAGGTTTTTCTTAGAACAGTGGGTTGCATACATTAAAAGCTAATTATCCGTCAGTTAACGTGGATCTAGAAAGTTTCTAGGTGGGGGCTGGAGAGATGGCTTAGCAGTTAAGAGCACTTGCTGCTCTTGCAGAGGACCTGGATTTGGTTTTGATTTTGATCACAGCTGCTTGTAACTCCAGCTCCAGGTGATCCATTGCCCTCCTCTGGCCTCTGTGGGTACTGCACGCGTGTGCACAGCCCCTCCCCCACACTTAAAATTTTTTTGGAAAGGTAAGTGGGCATATGTAAATGGTTATTCCCCTTAGTGTTTAGGTAGAATCCTAAGTGATAGGATTGAGGGGTCGTGTGAGCAAAGTAACTAGGGATGATTTCAAGGGATGATTCTTTTCTCATAGTTTGCCTTTATTTGCTTTTGTCCCTAAAGACATTTTCTCCCAGATGTCAGACTCCAATGGCTTGATGATGTTTGGCAAGCTTGACCAGTTTCTGAAGGAGGCCCTGAAGCTCCCGACAGCCGTCTTTGAAGGCCCGTCCTTCGGTTACACAGAGCACGCAGTCCGCACCTGTTTTCCACAGCAGGTAAGAAGGACCTTTGACACAGCCTCGGGCCACAGGAGCCTCCAGCTTCTCCCAGACTGCCCCGATGGCTTCCAGCAGAGGCCAGAGTCAAGGCAGGGGAGGGGGAAAGTTCACCTGAGCACTCTGGTTCTCAGGTAAGGGATCATTGGAAGTACTTTAAAGAAAAATCTTTTAAAGGTTTTTTGTTTTTCATTATTGCGACTGAATGTATATGTTTTTCCCCCTTCTCTCTAAGTAAGGTTCTTTAAATTTTAAATCTAGGGATTTTGACCTAAAGCTATAGCGATCTTGGATCATTGTTTCCTGCAGTGTCCACCTGCCCCGGCAGAGTGCACTGAGTGCACATTGCATGTGACATGGGTCAGGAGTTTGGCTGCTCTTCCTGATTTTTCACCTAGAGGTTGGTATGAGTGAGTTCCCGAGAGTTTATCTCTGCCTCGGAGACTGGGAATAGAGTAGATACTCATGACTCAAGGTAGAGAATAGATAAAAGTACTGTAAGACTGTGTTTAGAAAGTTAGGACAAACAGAAAATTGAGGAAAAGATATCTGTTTTAAAATCAATAGAAAAGGGGCTGGAGAGATGGCTCAGTAGTAAAGAGCACTGGCTGCCCTTCCAGAAGACCCAGGTTCAAATCCCAGCACCCACGTGGCAGCTCAAGCTTGTCTGTAGCTCCCCAGTTCCAGGGGATCCCACACCCCCACACAGACACACATGCAGGCAGAACACCAATGCACATTAAAAAAAATACATAAATAAGTTTTTAAAAAATCAATAGAAAATAAAATTATCTTCTCAGAATATACTTTTTTAAAAAAACAATATATTTTTATTTTATGTGCATTGCTGTTTTTTCTGCATGTATGTCTGTGTGAGGATGTCGGATCTCTTGGAATTGGAGTTACAGATAGTTGTGAGCTGCTGTGTGGGCGCTGGGAATTGAACCTGGGTCCTCTAGAAGAGCAGTCAGTGCTCTTAACCGCTGAGCCATCTCTCCAGCCCCCAGAAGATGAAACAGTAGTTTTTCAGTTAGAAAACTAAACCAGACAGGAGACAGGGCTTCAGCCCAGCCGTCAGTCATGTGACCAGTAAAGGGGGAAGCTGACAGCTGGGGGGGGGGATGCGGTGAGTGGTGTGGCTCCCCGCTCAGACCTCCCTCTGAATCACACAGCTTGAATGGAATGTTGTGGAAATGTCCGAGGGCTCAATTTGTGGCTCCTCCATATAGCTGTGAATCTTGCCAGATTCAACAAGGTAGTTGACCACCTGAAAAGGTCAGAATCATAAAGAAAAGAAAAGACAGGAACGTTCCGGATTAGAGTCTACGAGTTGAAAAGTCAGTGACCCAGGGTTTGCTGGTTTTTTGTTTTTCTGTTACAAGAATAGGACAGTTGGAAAAATCCAAACAAAGTTTATAACCAGATAACAGTGTTCTGCCACTGAATGTTAATTTCTTGATATTGATATTTATCTTTAGCTATGTGAGAGAATGTCTTGCTTTTTTGTTAGAGAGAGAGAGACAGAGAGAGAGAGAGACAGAGAGAGACAGAGAGAGAGACAGAGAAGAAAAAGAAATTCAATCTGGACTATTTATGGAGAAAGGGACACCCATCTGCAGTGAGAACATGTTAGGGATCTGGATTGCAGGAAGGGTTTGGTAATTTATTTTACAACCTTTTTGTAGGTCTGAAATTATGTAAAAATAGAAAACTATATCCAGCGTGGTAGAGTATGCCTATAATCACACCTTTGGGAGGCTAAGGCAGGAGAATTGTTCCGAGCTGGAGAATAACCTGGTCTGTATAGCAAATTCCAGGCCGCGATAGGACTACGTGGGGAGTGGGGGGCCTGTCTCCAACCCACTGAAATGAAAATGTTTAGTCAATCTTTGATTCCCAAAGCACCCTAGGTATACATGTGCATCTTTTTATATTTAAGGTTTAAGGATCCATATTTTTCTGAATTCAAATGTTAAAGAATATGTTATAATTTGTGTAGAGGTTCCTCAGCTTTCACATGGAAGGTGCCACCAATAACAATGGGAAATTCTTTTTTAGTAACTTCTGAGATGTCCTCACATTTGTGCATAGTAGCTTTGTGCAAACTTTCCATTGTCAACTGTATTTCCTCAGTTACCGGTATAACTGGCAGTCAGTGTCAGCTTTTAGTATATTGAAGTACCTCCACTCAGTCTGTCAATAAAACACAGCTTGCATTTATGCCCCCCCCCCAATATACATCCGCAGAGGAAGTGAGGCTCTCCAAGCTCACACTGTTACCAGACTGTCCCGCAGATACTGAATCCCCTTCTCGGGTGAAGGCGGTGGTGTCAGGGTACCAGAACCACAGACGGCTTCTCCCGGGTTTAGCTTACCTTCCTGCTGCTGCTGCTGCTTCTGATGCTACAGGAGCACGCTTACCCCAGCTGGCTGCCCACACAGCACTTCGGAGCTGGCTTACAGGTGATATACACATGGCTCTTACACAAGGTGCTTCTGGAGATCAGGTGGGACCCTGATTCAGTTCTGGGATGCTGCTTTTGAGTAAAATGGTGGCAGGATCGGGGAGAGAAATTTATAGTAAAGTGTCAGTGAGGAATGATGTCTTTCAAGTGGTTGACAGTCACAGAGGTACTAACCCTAAAGTAACCTTTGACTTCATTGTGGTTTAGGACTGTAACAAGAATCTGCTATTGGAGTAGTGATTGAGACCATTGAGGGAGCTTTAGAAATTGTAATTGTTAATTCAGAGTGCTGCGAGGTCTCTGTAGATTATCTTAGATGTGCTCAGTGTGAGGCCTCTGAGCACACAGCCTGCTTATTGATTCTCATCTGCTTCAGATTCCCAGAAAATAGAAATCAGCCAGATGTCGTGTTGCATGCTTGTAATACCAGTACCAGGAAGGCAAAGGCAGGTGGGTCTCTGTGAGTTCTAGGCCAGCCTGGTCTACAGAGCCAGGGCTATGTAGAGAGACCTGTCTCAAAAAAGAAAAGAAGAGAAAAATCAGTCCACATTTTGAATATACCAAATTTGGAGAAGTCTGAGAAGCTCATGCCAGATTAATGATCCTTGGGTTTTCCTCAGTTCTTGAAGATGACATGGTAGAGGGAGAGAACCACCTCAGGGGCTAAAGTAGTTAAGTAGTATTGGAGAAATTATTTTGGTCACTCCACGTAGTTAAAAGGATATTTATTTAATGGCATAACTCACAAATTAAGTGAAAGGTAGGTCGCAGGGTCTGGGGAAGGTGTATCGCAGTCCAGCGGTGTTCTCCGGAGCTCTGCACAGTTCACCTTCACCATTCAGCGTCCCGGCACAGAGAGAGCGCACAGAGAGAGCGCTGGCCCATCCAGGTCTCAGGGCTCCAGGTACCTCCCCTGGCCCCGCCTCGTAGGCGTGACAGTTGCCAGAGTCTCAATGGGGGTTGGAACTTCCAGATCCAAGCTGAAATGGCTACCCACTACAAAGTAGTTAAGAATACGCACTGCTCTTCAGGGCACTGGATTAGTAAAGCCATAGTTAAGGATGTGACTGCTCTTTCAGGGTACTGGTTTTTTTTTTTTTTTTTTTTTTTTTTTTTCCCCTCAGTACCCATGTTAGGTTGCTCATAACTGCTTGTAACTCTAGCTCCAAGGGTTGTTAATATTTCTGGCCTCTGTGGACACTTACACTTGTGTGAGCATGCGCGCGCGCACACACACACACGCACGCACACACACACACGCACTTAGAAATAATCAAAGCAAATGTTAAAAAAAGTATCTTCAGAAAGAATAGAAACACTAATAGAGTGAGTTTGGACAAGGTTTAATACAAGAATTAAATTCATCTGGGGGATGGTGTCACACGCCTTTAATTCCAGTGCTCAGGAGACGGGGGCAGGTGGATCTCTGAGTTCTAGTCCAGCCTGGTCTAGAGAGCAAGTTCCAGGATAGCCAGGGCTACACAGCGAAACCCTGTCTTGAAAAAAAACCAAGGATTAAATTCAGTAAATTTTGGAGTTCTTTTTGTAAACAGTCTTTTTTTTCCTCCTGCACTCTCCTTCCTGCAGTGTATTTCTTCGATGTGAGTTGGTTCTTACACTGTCAGCTGGAGGGTTGTTTCCAGGCAAATTAGAGGTGGCCTTGCTGGTTCTGATGCAGGCTTCCTGATGCTTTGGGATGAGCGAGGAAGTGATTGATCACAATTAGAGAAAGGATGGAGATTTAAGACATTGGAGGTCCTGCAGACCTTCCTTAAGTGAAAGAGTTAAGAGGCCGGAGGTCCAGCCTTTACACCACACCTTGACAGGGTCCTCTACAAATGTGCTGGGCCACATTTGGGCATACCTGAAGAGATCGTGAGCTGCTTCCCTTTCTGCAGCATTCAGGTGACAGGCAGTGATGACACTTCCTCAGCCTAAAGTGCAAGGTTATGGAATTATGACCCAGTGTTTAGTTGGGTAAGACTGACCCATCTAGGAAATTGTTGCCCTTAGGAAGAAGGAACGAAGTATTGGATGTAAGCCTTCAAGTTTTGTTTGACTGATTCTTAGTGGTTATGAACCAACCAACTGAAATCAGAGGCTTAAAAGTTATTGAAAATAAACAGAAAATGAATTTAAATTCTCCCCAGTTTTCTAGATTCCCAAGTTTTGGAGGAAGACTGTTCTCCCCCCGCCTCCCCCTTTTTGGAAGATTTGTCCCTTGCTTGCTTACTTATTTTCTAGGTCTTGGTGCTGGCTTTAGCTTAAAGAGTTGACTACTCCCATGGAGATTTTAGATCTGATGTCTGTGTGGGCAGGGGAACGAACATCAGAGTCGGGAGGGAGGGTGGAGGGATGGAAGGTACGTCATACAACATGGCAGCCAGTGTCTTCAGACATCTCCGTGACACACACAAGAGGTGGGAATATGGAGAGGGGGGTGGCATTTTTGTTGGTTAGTTTTCAAAATAGTGAGACTATGTCATCTATTGGAGCGACTTCCTGACTTGACTTTATCCAGCGGATCTCCTCTGG